TGTAAGTAATCTTGATAATATCCAAACTAACAACAATTGATAAGTACAAGTATTTGAATAATTTTTAAATTATAATATTTTATTTGAATTGTCTTTTAAGGGACAAGAGATGGCTTTGGATTAGGAATTGAACGAAATCTGAATGGATTCACCAGATATACGATGATTGGCAGGGATGACGAGGGTATTCACGTTTGACATAAGTTCTCTAATAACCAATATATTAAACAATCATTTGTTTCTGAAATTATTATAAAAACAAATTTTCAGGCGATTATTCACTTGAAATCAATTCCGTGTCCCTCGAAGACGACGCTACATTCCAGTGTCAGGTGAGCGGTGCCGGAGATTCTGTGCCCGGAATTAGATCCAGAAGTGCTGTCATAACAGTTCTGGTGGCGCCCGACCCGCCCATCATTGTCCAGACGAGAGCACAGGGAGATCTGTTGCGCACGACTGCCGGCACTGTCATTGAATTAAATTGTGAATCAAATGGTGGGAAACCGGCGCCAGAGGTACAGAAGTGATGATCACTTATATAAACTAAATGTTTGTTAAACACACATCCATTGACCCAAAATTAGTTGCAATGGCATTATTCCGATGGACAGTCGGTTTCGAGTAAAAACATCACATATTCGTCGCAATCCCTGAGCGACGGGAAACGGTTTAACGCGGAGTCGAAGTGGATATTCATTGCGGGCAAAGAGTACGACAATCGGACAGTCGTTTGTCGGACACAGAACTCGGCACTAAAGGAACCGCTGAAGACAACCATACGTTTGGACGTGAAATACGCGCCCGAAATACAGCTAAAAGTGACGGAACCGGGAGGTCAGGCAAGAATCGGCGATAACATTGCGCTGAGTTGTGAGGCGAATGCAAATCCTAATGAATTGCTGTATAAATGGTTTAAAAACGATGAGATAATAATTGGCGACTACAGCACCCAACTGTTGCTCAGTGCGGTGGACAGGTATATGAATGGAGCCGTTATATCGTGTCAAGTGAGCAATAGTGTGGGCACTAATAAGGCCACACATACGCTGAATGTATCTTTTGGACCAATACTGAAACCCCACAACGAAACGGTGTATGGCGTGGATGTGAACCGGGATGTGAG